GCAAGAGGGATTGCTTGAGTGGAAAATAACTTGGGTGACAGTAGGTGTGTCTACACAAGATGTTTATTGCAGAGTTGCTTAATTAGCCCTACATTACAGTCTTGGTGTCTACACATGCCTTATTAGGGTGCAGTAAACTAAAAACTGCCGCCACAGGTTAGTACTCGTAAATTCAAGTACTATCCTGTGGTGGTGTTATTTACTGCACCACAGCGAATGTATAGATGCTGACAGGGCTGGCTAGAGCATGAGGATGCTTCAGTGCAGGGGCTGCCTGCTGACTAATACCTCACTGAAGCATCCTCATCCCCCAGCCAGCCCCACCACAGGACATTGAGCCAAGTCAGAGCAGCCCTGGGCTGGCAGGCTGAACCCCTGGATCCCCTGCCAGCCGGGGCTGCTCCAGTTCAGCTCAACGTGCTGAGGTCCCTGGCCCAAAGCAATTATTGCTGTGCATTAATAGCATGTGTAGATGGTCCCAGTGACAATAAAATGATAGCCTTCAAGATCCTAAGGGGAGGAAGGAAGAACAACAGCAGAATAAGGACACTGGACTTCAGAAAAGCAGACTTGACCAAACTCAGGGATATTGTGGGCAGGATCCCCTGAGAGACTGAAGGGAAAAGGAGTCAAGGAGAGCTGGCTGTACCTGAAGAAGGCCCTTTTAAGAGCCCAAGAGCAAACTATCCTGATGCAATGGAAGAATGGGAAGTACAATAGGAGATCAGCCTGGCTAGACAGCAATCTCTTCAGTGAATTAAAATTAAAAAATAAATGCTATGAAAAGCCTAAACTTGGTCACATTTCTATGGAAGAGTATAAGAGTACTTCATGGGGTAAGAAGACTAAGGATAGGCAATAGGGATCTTCAGCATCTTTTAGGCCAATCTAAAGGCACCTAATGATTTGAAGTACTTAAGAGGTTTTGCAGATGATACAGTCAGTCTGGACTGCTTTTGTAATTTGGGCATAGGATTTTTGTCTAAATCCTGTTTAGGCACCTACAGGAATTATTTGGATCTAGCCCTTAGTGACTTGCTGGGGGATCAAATGGGAAGCCTATGACAAAGTGATTCAACTCAGTTTCTCTCCTTTTGTGCATTAGAACTAGGACTTCTAATTCTCTTCTGAATATGAGTTTCCTGGTAGTCATACCAGGCTTACTCACTTCTGCAGGAGCATAGGAAGCTTAGCTCATAAACGCTCTTTTAAATCATCAGGCAGGAGAAGAGCTTAAAGAGTATAATGGAAATTACTTGTTTTCTAATAATAGTCAATTAGATCTACTCCTTTGCAATTCTATTTGGAAATGTAATGTAAGAGACTGCCCGTGCTGGGAAAAGTTAATTTGTCTTCATTTTCATATGATTTCTAAAAATAGAGTTAGATGTCATGTACCTTTGGAATGTGTATGTTTGGTAACTAACAAACTCACTTTGTCACTGTTTATAATCTCAGAATTCTTTCCATGGAAACTATTATAAGGTCACTATTATCATCAAGCAGCAGTGAAGTCCAGTTCTGGAGAGTCATTATCTTAATATTGTTGCACTGTGATAATTAAATCATTTTAGAGAGTCACTGGGAAGGACAATTCTACTTGCCCTTCAGGAGAGGAGTGTATACTATTACATATATGTGTATTGAAGTATATATTATATAACATTATTATTATGTGCTGTGTACACACAACTATGCAGAGAACTTACAGGAACTAAGTTGCTTTCAGTGCAATTTATCATACACTGATGTAGGACAGGTAAGATTGCTTTAAGATTCCTGCACTGTAAATTCATCGATAGTACTTAGTACCTGATGATATTTAAACCAACAATAAGGACAACCCTGCAAACTCTCCATTAAAGCCAATGGATGCTCTTCATCCTACAGGTTTGGACCTTTTGGGTAATTAAATCTGAAGATGAATTCTCATTTTTTCCAAGGCCTCTTTACATCTTTCTGGGAATTTAAAGGCAACTTAAATCAAGAGTAATTGTAATTTACTCTAATATTACTCTTTTTACTACCATGGTGGTATACAGTTTGAAGACAAATCAAGCTTCAATTATCAATATAAAATTCTGTTCAAAGCTCTGATATTTACTTCTATGCAAATGGGAGAATATAGTGGTGTTCTACTGTTTTTTCAGTGTATTGGATTCTATTCCTTATGCACTGTATGTGTCATAGTATTTGGTACTACTTTAAAATTTTTGCTGCATAATGTATTATTGCTATATGTGGAGCCCCAAGATTGCAAGAGCTGGTAATTTTTAAAAAATTAAAAAAAAAAACTTTATCACATAGACATGATTGTATGTCTGGTTATATTGCTCTGACATAGAATGCTGCTGGAGACTTGCATAGATTGATTGCAGTAGCTGGGAAGCAAAGGAAAAAAATAGCCCATAGAGTCTGTTATGTATGTCGTACTTAGCACCAAAGGGAAGAACTTTCCAATCTCAAGGAGTTTGTTCACATTTTACCACAATGGGCTTAGAGTTTTAGGGGTTTAGGATCAATGGGATTAGGATCAAAACTTTGTGGTCTGTTGCTAATGAAAATTAGTGAAATTCTTGTTGGAGAAAAGTGGCCAGCTGATGATGGGAAAAGGCTTTCCTTGCTACTCATCTGAGGAGTTATCTTGACAGCTAAAGATGGACCATTTGGCCATGTCCACAGAAGCGTGGACATTTTGTTCCCTGGGGACAACTAGTGGTAGTGCACCTTTTGCTGCCACTAGTTGTCCCCATGGAACACCTATGCCACGCATTCTTTGGCGTGCGGCAAGTTACCCTGGGGAGGGGAGGGGAGGGGAGGCTGGGCCTAGCACTGGGCTGGCTTAAACACCTTACCTGGGATTGTGGGGGCAGCAGTGGAGAACCTGCCATTTGGAGCCTGGCCAGCAGCTGGCCTGGCTCCGATTTTGAGTGGCGCATGTTGTCCCCATGTGCGCCACTCTGCTATTTTCTCCTGTGGGTTTTTATGACCCCTGGATATCCTGCTCCCTTGCAGTGTGGAGAACACCTGAATGTGTGGTATATGGCTGGCGTCACATACCACATGGCCACGCTCATCTGGATGTGGCTTTTGTGTCCAAGACTAATGAAAAATCTGGCAGGATTCTGAGACTTTACACTACTTTGATGATTTTTTAGTGAAAGGTCACTACAGAGATTATTTAATTGAAAAGTTCTCCAAAATATTTTCCTTTGCCTACCAGCATCGCCCTTGTTTTGTTAGGGCAAAGCATGAACCAATTGCTTTTTATGCTCTTTATCCTTTTAGTATTTTTTCCCAAGCTCTGGAACTTCTTGGGGATAGAAGGAAGTATATCTATTAAGGAGGTAGAGATGGCACATTAGCAGAACTTCTCCACAGAAGTCAAAAGCTTAAGAAATAAAATGATACTGTGCCTTCCTGGACAATGTGTGACTGTGGGAAAGGAGGATCAGGGGCTTCTCACTCCTGTGTGAGACCTTCCTGTTGGGAATAAATAATACACTTGGCTGCTGCCTTATTCATTCCAGCGATAACTGGTAATCATTGAAGCAGGACCTATAGAGTTGATCATAAATGTTTTAGCAATATGGACATTGAAGTTTGTTTTCTGTGTAAGAAAATAAAAATATTGCCATCACTACCAGCAGAGTGGTGTTAGGGCCTGGAATTTTACTGGGAAAGATGCAGGTTGTTTTGTAGAGATAGACACTGAGCTTTTTTAGAAAGGAACATTGGAAATGGGGCAGAAAGTGATTAGGTCTTTTATATTAAGTGAGGTGTTCCTTCAGATTGTTTGGACTACTGCAATCTTTAGAATATTTGTTATTTAGTGCCTCTTTTATAAAGAGAATTATTTATTATATTAAAAAGATAAATATTCTTTAGGAAGCAGGAAAAGAAAGTGTCCATTTCACAGGTAGCATGCTAAATATTCCTTTGAATCCCATACCGCAATGTATTAAGTAGTACTAGGAGAGAAATCATGAGGGCCATGGAGAGAAAACACCTAACTAGAGCTGTTCAGAATTTTTTCCATTTGAATGGTCACCTACAGTTTTGCTAAGATGAAAACACATTATGTGAATACATTGGTTCTGAAGTTATTTTCAATAAGAATGTGTCAAAATGATTTTTTTCACTTTTCTCTTTTAGGTTTGATGGTGTTGCAATGGTTCATTTTGCTAAAGTAAAATACACTTTATTTTGGCTTTACTATTTTTTTTGCTTTGATTTTTATGTTATAATAATGTTATACATTATATATACTATCAGTTATACTGTCTTATCAGCTGGACACAGGGCAATTGCATAGTAAACAAAATCACATGAGTAAAGTATGCTCTCCCTGTGCATCTACCCTCAGTTTCCTTATCACTCTAAAGTATTATTTGGGCTGTAGGTGAGGAGGGGGGGGCATGTGCCCCCCCCCTAAAATTGGCCCCCGACACCCTCCCCCATCGGCAATTAGCAGTCAGCCACTGGGGAACCCTCCCCCCCAGTTGGCGATCAGCTGCAAGCACTGCCAGCACTTCTGGTTTGCTGCCAGCACTTCCGCCGGCAGTGGCATTTGGCATCTGGGGGACCACCCTCCCCCATTGGCAATTGGCAGCTGGTACCCCCCCAGAGCCAGGAGGCACCAGTCGCTCAAGTTTGGGCTTAAGTCAGAGTCTTCTGGCTTATCCAGATCTTGTTCTTGCCTATAACTGAGACTTTCTCAATTTCTCTGTTTAGTCCAGGTAAGCTTCATTTAACTTTGGCTGCTCTAGACAGGCCTAGTCTATACTATAATGTCCTGCCAGCAGAACTCAAATTCTACTGGCACAACTTTGAGTTACACCATCTTTCATGAAGACAAGAAGGCTTCTGCTGCTGCCTGGCAGCTGACAGAAGATATATTTGCCTCTGCCTCTGCCTCTCCCTCCCCTCCCACCTGTTGCTGGCTTTAGGGATTCCTTCAACAGCTGGTGCCTTCCCAGAAAGTGTTTTGTACTTTGCAGGAGAGCAGCTGCAATGGAGCCGTGCAAGGTCCCCAGAGGTACACAGATGTGGTCAATTGGTAATGGCAGCTGCTGTGCGAGAAAGAATGTCCACCAACAGATTCAGGTAAGTGTAAATGAGGCCTCAGAAACAGCTTCTCTGCTACAAAATCACCTCCTTTTTATTCCTCTGTCTTGCCCATTGTCTTATATAAGCCCCTCAGTATCCCACACTGAGTTTTCTAGGATCTTTGGTTTTTAAGACCCACTTAGGGTCAGGCTTTTAATATCTGATATTTATTGTTTGACTGTTTGGGCATTTTTCAGTCTCCAAATTCTTGCCATTTCAGATTACCTTGTTTGGACTAAGTTACTTAGGCTTCAACCATCCAGACCATCTCCAGAGATAGGGATGTTGGGAATGGTGGTACAAGGAGCACTTTCCATTTATATTCACTACCTTATTTTCAGGTTTGACACATGCACAGCAGGAGTGGGTGGGGATGTGCTCCCCTGGTGCATGGAGCCAGAAGCACTAGAGAAGCAATGGAATCACCTCCTTAAAGCCAGACTTGTAGATAGCAGAAGGTGCCTTAGGCAGAACAGCATTAAAAAGGCACATGAAATAAGAACATAGATCTTTCAAAAGTCAAACTGAAATTCATAGTTTGTACTTAGGCAGATTCCTCAAATTGGCCCAACTACCATTATTCCTTTATTAAGTAAGGCTATCAATATCTCCCTGAAAGAGAGTAAGATACTGATTGGCCACAAATGAGCTGGTAGATCATCAAATCATAGAATATAGGGCTGGGAGGGACCTTGAAAAATCATCGAAGTTCTCTATCCCAAGGCAGGATCAAGTATACCATTCTTGGTAAACATTTATCTAATCACTTATTAAAAACCTTCAGTGAAAGAGATTCCATAACCTCCCTAGGTAATCCATTCCAGTGGTTAATTATCTTTACAGCTTAAAAGTTTTTTCCAAATGTCTAGCCTAAATCTGCCTTGCTACAATTTAAGCCCATTACTTCTTGTGCTGTCACCAATGGATAGGATGAACAATTTATTACATTCATTTTTGTAACCTTTTATGTATTTGAAGGTTATTTTCATGTCTTTCTTCAGTCTTCTCTTTTCTGAATGAAGCAAATACAATTATTTCTATCTTTCCGTTTTGGTCATGATTTTTTTTGACCTCTGATCATTTTGTTGCTGTCCTCTGGGTTCTTTCCAATTGGTCCGCATTGTTCTTGAAGTACGCTGACCAAAACTAAATACAGCCTTACTAAGGTTGAGTAAGCTAACTTTAGCAGCAAAAATTGTATCTACCACCTGTGGTGATGTCTTTTCTGTGATACAGATTTCCTTCTCCATGTCTTCATCATTGCTCATGGTTTTCAGAAATTGTTACAGTATTCTAAATCCTATAGAAACCTGAGAGGTTTACCCTCGAAAAATATAATACCAATGTATATTCATGAGTCATAGATTCATAGATTCATAGATGTTAGGGTCGGAAGGGACCTCAAAAGATCATCGAGTCTGACCCCCTGCATAGGCAGGAAAGAGAGCTGGGTCTAAGTGACCCCAGCTAGATGCATATCCAACCTCCTCTTGAAGACCCCCAGGGTAGGGAAGAGCACCACCTCCCTTGGGAGCCCATTCCAGACCTTGGCCACTCTAACTGTGAAGAAGTTCTTCCTAATGTCCAGTCTAAATCTGCTCTCTGCTAGATTTGTCATGGACAAATCTAGCACCAAGGCTTTCATTACTGATGGATTGAAGAGAACAAAAGAAGAGCAATTGAAAGAGACAAATATAGGTTTCAAAATGTCTTATGATCTATACCAGTGGTACTCAACCTTTTTCACTGGCAGGCTAGATGGACAGTGCTTGATCCCACCACAGCTGGATCTGTCATGGCCCCATCCCCCACTATGGTGGGGGAAGCCCAACTGTGATCCATCTATGTAGTGGAAGGGGGCTTGGTCCAGTCCCAATCGAGGGGAGAGGACATGTCTTGGCCCCACCCTGGCCAGGCAGAGGTAAGGGGGCATGGGCTGATAATTATGCGGGGGGAAGGGGCATGGCCTAGCCAGGTCCTGAACCAGCTGCTCAGGGGGAGACAGCTTGGCCTGGACCCATGGGAGGAATGGGGCACAGCCCAGTCCCAGCCTGGCCAGAGAGAGGGAAGGGAGTGTGGTCCAGCTTCATGGGGAGAAGGGGGTGCAGCCTTGCCCCAAACCTAGCCACACAGAGGGAAGGGGGGATTTGACCTGGCTCTGATCTGGCTGTGTGGGGGGAGGGTCCTGGCTGAGCTCCACCCCAACCCATGAGGCTTTGAATTTTGGCAGCATGGAGGGGTGGCAGACAGGATTGCCACTGCTTTGCAACATTTCCTGATGTACCAGGAATCTTGCAGGCCAGATTTAAAGGCTATGTTGGCACTGGATTTATGACCCAGATATCTTATCCTGGGTGGACCAAAACCCTCAGACTGACCACAACTTCTTCCATTCAATAATAGGCAAATTTTATTGATACACAGTAATAGCAGATACAAATAATGCAAACAAAATACCCCCACCCCCGATTCTACTTATCTACCAGTCCTAAGGCTGTCACAGGGAGAACAGTACACCTGTCCATTATGTGAACACGACCTTGTGGCTCTTGCTTGTTCGAGCCACTCTGGGATGTATGCCACACACAATGCAGGTCCCAGATCAGGTACAGCAGCTGCTGGATCAGGGATGCTGGGAGAGGGGAAGGGAAAATATTAAATGGGAGAGGATCTGGCCCATGGACCAGCCCCATGCTGTGCCACACATGGGCCTGATTAGACCCAGGGGTAGCACTGGAGTCCAGATAGCAGGGCTCCACCAGCTGGATCCAGCCTGAAAGTGATGTATTTGACACCTCTGACCTAGAGGGCAGATATTCAGTAAGCAAGCCTGCTGACTTTTGTGAATTCTGTGAATCCTGTTGAGGTTTAGGAATGAAATAGTGTCAAGCAGCTTGGCACCTATCAGGATTTGGGTAGTTGTGCACAAGTGTGGTAAAGCAATTAACAGCATAAATTTAGGCACCTGGGGATTTTAGAAACCTATTGGATTAGGTGGAACCCAGGCAGGGATTTTGGAATGCCACTGGAACCAAAAGTTCATATTTACATGTCATGTGGCCAGTGACACATTTGGGCATCTACATTTCCTTTCCCAATTGTCTCCATTGTTGCTAGTTTTAGTGGGGAGGAAACTATCCAAGAGGAACAGACAAAAACCACCAACTTCCTTTCATAGTCATTAATAAAAACAGTTTTGTCATTGTTGCCAACTTATTTTCTTTTTCTCTTAAAAAGATACAAAGCAACTGAAAAGGTCAAGCCTTCTGATCTTGCCATTTTTTTCTGAGAGGTAGGATCCTTTAATGACCTTGATTGGCACATTTAAGATATACACAGCTTTGAAACTCTTTCCTAATTGCCACACTCATTAACTGTGGGAATACTGAAGGCCTGCTCTTGCCTTTATTTATTTATTATTTTGTTGTTTTCTCTCCTGTAAAGCCAAGAGAACATTCATGAAATTATCTCGTGGGATTATCTTCTGAGAATTGCTTTCCTCACTCAGGAAAGAAAATGCTGTACCACACACTGGATTTACTAACTTTATTAGGAAATGCATCACATGTTTGGGTGTTTTTGTTTTAAGGGGTACCTTGAGTGAAACTAAGAAAAAAATAACTACCAACCTTTGAAAATGTTTTGTTCTAAATATTTTATTTGAGCTCAGTGTGGTTAGTTCAATACATAATAACAGGCTGTCCTGACAACAAAAGGCTGAATCGACATAGAACATGACTGGAATTATGCATGTCAATTATAATGAAACTCATTATGCAACAAGGAAGTCTAATTCTATTGTGAAGGCCTGTATTTTGCAATCTCAGTACTATTCAGTATTGATGTCAGTGCTGAACAATAACCCCCTCTCCCTCACGTCATAGTCATAAATAACAAATATAAAACTCATTTTTGTAGCTTTTAAATATGCAAACGTCCTAGGGGCAGGGGGCAAAAAGAGGTGTTTTTTTTTAATTAAAAAGAGACAACTACCCTGGTCTTTCAACAGTCCATCATATCTATGGCTTCGTTAGCCTTAATATTTTGCCTCCCTTAGGAGAACCAAGTAAGGTTATTAAATCCTTTCCATGTATCAAAAGAAAAGCATGGATGGCAACTCTCTGAAACTCACCATGTGTTGTATTTATCAACAGAATGCATACTTAATTGTACCTATTAGGCTATAATTTTCACCAAGGAGGCTCTGGTAACCCCTTGATGGATTTAAATTGTAGTTGGCATATATTGTTCTGTATATCACTACAGATTGGCCATTTTAACTACTATTATTGCAAGTATTTTAACACTTCCAGTTGCAAAGGCTAGTTGTAGAAACTTATTATACAAACATAAGTGTAAAGGGGACTTTCCTTTTATAAAAAACATTCTGAATGCTGTTTGAGCTATGAAATACTATTTCAGAATTCAGCATTTAAAAGAGTTGATATCTGGCTGGGAGCAGCTTTTTTATTTGCAAAAATAAAGCACTGTTGTGACAATGTTTTATAGATATTTTATGCTGGATTGGCGGGTATACCAGTGAATAGGAATCAAAGATGATTCAAAATTTAAGGAGATTCAGACAGGCATATAGCTGGGATGGTGAGCACATGAAGGTGAGGAAACAATGTTTCTAGACAAAGAAACTAAGCACATGACCATCAATCAAGATTTTTTCTGGTTCTTTGTGAAATACAAAGTAGCAGTTAGCTACTTCTTGCACCATCCGGTACCTTCAGCAGCCCAAAAAAATTTCAAGAGCTGACCCCAGGATTTTTAGGCATTCATAAATTCCATTGAAGTAAATGGCATTTTTGCATGCAAAAAAACTGCAGAACCTGATTTATGATACTGAATGGAAATCCATGGCTTAGAGCTGGTCAACATGAACTTATACTGACATGATTGTTTCTGTTTAGCAGGCCCATAACTATCAGCATATACAGGCATTCATTCTCCCAGGAGGAACTCTCTTGGGAATGATTTAACCCCGGTTG